TTTGTCTAGTTTCTTCTTGGTGAGCGTGCTTGTGCAACGTTGTTTTCAACGTCGGTATATCAGACTGTCAGTTACTTTGCCATGCTCAAAACACGAGAAGCGGCAAAGCGAATATTGCGGTCGTCTGTGCGTACACTGGACATGAGTATGAAGTCAATGAGGGAATTGGATTTGAGGCGAGAATTGCTAATCGTTTGCATGGTGTGCCACGCTTTACGAATCCTGTAAAAAGAAGCTGGAAGAGCGCGCCAACCGCCACCGTCTTCCATATCTCCTCACACAAACGAATTCAACTTATCACAACAGCGGTCATTCATTGTGACGGTCGTTAACATCATTTGGACTCTTCCACAAGGAATGCCACCTGATTCATCACAACACAAATCTCCTCACCTACTTGATATTTCTGAGCTCTCAAACAACGACGATGTCGATAGTGGAGATGAATTTGATGTGCACTACGATTCCTTGTTCAATGGCAGCGCATAAGGCTAGAACGCCGCTCTAATCAGCTGCATGAAAAACGTAGCATTGAAGAATGAAGTACCTATTTTCCCACTAATCCTGCATTCTGCTTCACCCCGTGGCTAGTCTATGACCTACTCAATGTCTGCAAAGGGTTCTTAGAAGAATAAGTTTATGCGCCTATTGAAGCAGTCCGGTTTTCAATGCTGTGTCTCCATAACAGTGGCTACAGTGGTTGGTTGCCTATCTGCGTTTGTACATCGGTGGTTAAGTTGTCTCAAACGGAATTAGAAAATGCGTGTTTTTGGATTCATTGAATGTTGAGTAAGCAAAATGTACTGGTTGTGGCCATAAAACCAGAATACATGAATCGGCACATCGACTTACCACTGGAAGAATGCACTGTAGATGTTGAGGTGGATATTTGCTGGTTGGGCCAATTATTCGAAAATAAACGTACAAAACCGGAATACCTGAATGGGCATATCGACTTACCACTGTGTGGGAGCTATGTAACTTAAACGTCGTCTAAGTCGTCTTCACTGCCATTAAACAGGGAATCGTAAAACGCATCGAATTCGTGTCTACTATCGGTTCCACTGTGACTGCAATCTCTGCAATGTCACGAATATCTGGACATTGCAGTTGTAAGGAATAACATCGGCTTCCTTGTGACAAGCTTTGATGAGAATTATGAGGAGGAGACGTTGACGGTGGTGGTGACGGCGCTCTCGTCCCTGATCTCCACAACACCCGTCGAGCATGACTCTCAGTAAAGGCCATCAGCAACCTTCTCCTCAAATCCAGCTCTGTCTTTGAATTTGCAGCCCATTCCCATTTACGCAGAGATGACGCGATTATTCGCCTCGCTACTTCTTGCGTTTCCTGTGTTGCGAGTGAACTGAACTAGTGTGAAGTGTCCGAAGACATGGACATTGAACAAGCACGCTCAAGAAGAAGAGAGAGGACAAAATTGACTGTGTGGGAGCTATGTTCGATCTCGAAGAGTAGATGGATCAATCAGACGACAAGAGACAACCAATCCATACTTGTCAGACACGTTGTTGTCTAAATGTGTGTGAGCAGATTACGTGTCTAAAAAAGTGCACAACCTTGACATTTAACGGTACGTGAACTAACACCACCGACTCTCGAGGTCATGAATATGTTCGCTTGTTTACACTGGCGTGCAGTATCGACTACAATGTAGAAAGTAGCGCGTTGCATGCAGACCTGATCAAAACTGCAGCATTTGTTTTGGCTCTAAGCTCTCATGCAAGTTCCTAGTGACACTTGACTCAAGAATTTCTGCACTGCCATAATGTGCAAGAACTCTAAATCTTGCTGATTTTTGTAGAAGACAGAACGTTTCCTGACGTGTTCTACTTTGACGTTTTATAAAACAGGCGCACACTTCGGTTGACGTAAATACTAGCTAACATCAGCTATATGGATCAACTTCGGCTTGAAGTTATGCAAGAAATTCGTCAACAGAAATTGAGGCAGTTCTTTTCAACGTTATCACCACCAGCAGCAACGCAACCAAAAGTAAATAGGTACTTTTCAATTACGCTTCAAGTGAGAACGTTAAATTACTCAACTCGTGAGGTGGAGCAAGCGCGCGTGCACTAACACCTTGGCACCTGCACACGCACCCACGCACGCCGCCACGACCAAACACTGATCAGCCAGTGGCAAAGGAGATAGGCTGTATTTAGCCGTCTGTTTGATCATCGTACACCACGAGATTGAACAGTGCTCTCTCACAGTCATTTTTGTCCGGTCACCTTTCTGTGAGGGTGATAATGCTGTGTCGCTATCGACGTCAGTACGCAAGACTGCCAAGTCAGGTTAACGGCAAAAAAACGTGAAGCAGCCAAACAAATGCTGCAGTTGTCTTTGAGCAAATCAGCCAAGACAAAGATGTCAAGGAGAGGATTGGATTTAAAAGCAAAATTTGCTAATCGCCTACACGGTGTGCAACGCTCTGCGCATATTGGAAAGTAGGGCTGGAAGAGCGCGGCCACCACCACCGCCTCCTCCATCTCCTCATTGCAGGTGTCCTCACGCAAACGCATTTTCTTCATTACCACACCAGTCTTTCAATGACTGTGATATTTCCAAGTTATCCATCACCGACGAAATCGATGCAAGAAGTGAATCGAAAATGCACAAACATTCCATCCACAGAGATGGCACAGCATGCTCGAAAATTTTTTCTTGTCACCGAAACGCATTGCGTCGTCTCCTCTTCCTCCTAGTCTACCCAAAGACCATCCAATGAGCCACTTAGCTCATGCCGTGTATTTTATTGCTGTAGTGTTTGCACACGTATCATATATTTTCGTTTTAATCAATACATCGTTGAAATATGCGTGTTCTGTTTTTTTAGATGACATTTTTGGAGTAACTGTTTCTGACTGGTGATGGTACAACATTCGTCTGTTCGCTGTCGAAACGCTGCTTGAGTACGTTGGTGGATTTCAAGTGACTCACCGAAGTCATGTGCAACCACTGACAGGTTTTACATAAGTTGATGGGCTAAACGGTGTTCGTTTAAGCCTAAAGGTCTTCAGAGTTGTGCCGTCTAGATGATGTTCAATAGGGTAAAGAAAGAAATGATAGATTGTTTCTTGTTGCACGTCTCTGCTGACTTCTTTGCAAACAAGTACTTCTAATAGATCTTGACATGGTTGTTCATGATTCATTTGTGTGCGTGGTTATCGATCAGCGGGTTCACAATCACACTGCCGTACTGGTTTATGAACAACTTCTGTAATCCTTGTTTTGTGTGATGGGCTGAGTTTCTGACATCAGTGTGAGTGCATATGGTTAGAACGGTCTTTTTTACAAAACCACTAATTTCCATTAGGAAAAGGGGCGAGTTGCAAAAAACTGATCCGCCTTAAACTGGATCCACTAGTCAATTTGAACTTGCTTGTCTCCACTCTATCGTGCTGCTTCCAGGACGTCGTCACCTCTCTGCCATCCCACAGGAGGCCCATTCGAAGAAACCTCGTCCATCACCTCCTACTTCTTTTACCTCTTTTGAGAATCGCCTTAAACCTGCACTATGCCACAGTTCCTGAATGTCACTTGCGTTGTACCTCCACCTCAGCCACCTGCTGATGTCACGCAATGGTCGATCGAGGGCCTCTTCTAGACCAACGACGACGTCGAGGAAGAGGATGACCTCCTCTTAGCTTCTGCTATGTATTACCGTGAAGTGGAAGCTACTGTTGTGAGTTAATTTACTGCAAATTGACGTAATTAGGGAATCAAACTGGATGTGATCAGGTCAATGCAGTAAACAGTGAACTAGGCGCTGTTTTTAAGCAAGCGATGCTGTTGAACGACTGCACACTTCCTTATTTTCTACTATATGAAAAGCACTGAAAGAATAAATTAAAGATGATGCGGAGGTTTTAGCCTCACCTTCGGACGAAACACAATATAGGGGTAGGGAGAAATTTGGTTTTAGTAACTTTCATTCCGAGGTTTCAATCCAGCTGCCTTGAAGTTCGTCGACGACGTCTTCATTGGAATTAAACAGGAAATCAAACCACACATCAAATTCATGTCTAC